TCTATTTGAGGCTACTAGCTAATACAATTTTTATTTTGGTTTCAAGTATAAAATTGACGGCTAATCACCCGTCTGGAGAATCAACGATTCAAAGCAATTCAACTAGCCTCGGATGTGGACTGTCTTCAAGGAAACGACCTGGCGCACTAAGGGATATACGAATTGGAACGTGGAACATAAAAACTTTAACTGGGAAGGAGGTCGAGCTGGTGGAGGAAATGAGGACCTACAAAGTAGAAATCCTCGGCATAAGTGAAGTGAAGAAAAAGGGCAGTGGAGAAATGAAATTGGCTAATAATTACTCCCTAATTTATGCTGGAGTACCTACAGGGGTTTTTGCCAAAGAGGGAGTGGGTCTAGTAATGTCGCCTAATATGTATGATCATTTAGAGGACTGGGAGCCGATATCTCCAAGAATGATTGTAGCAGATTTTAAGATGACCATAGGTAAGATTTCCATAATCCAGGTGTATGCACCAACGGAAGATGCTAGTGTTGCAGACAAGGAGGCATTCTACTCGGATTTGCAAAAAATAGTAGATAAAGCTAAAGGAAAAGGAAGGTCAGTAATCCTGAGTGGGGACTTCAATGCCAGAACAGGAAATGATGAAAGATCTGGATATGGAGTTTTGGGGCTGCATGGAGGTGAGAATGTGAGGAATACTAATGGACAACGGCTAATAGACTTTTGCGTGCATAATGACTTCCTCATAGGGAATTCTTTCTATCCACACAAGAGAATCCACAAAATCACTTTCTCATGCATGGAACGAAATAGTATAATTGACTATTTCATATATGATAGGAACATAAGGCAGTATTTCGCTGACATAAAACTAGTAAGAGGAGCGGAGATAAGCAGCGACCACCTTTTACTTGTGGCTGGTACAAAGATCATCCCGGAGTATAAAAGGAAAACAAAAGTATTCGAAACCCTCAACGTAAAAGCCTTGGATGACCCAGAGAAAAGGGCCCTCTTTACAGAAAGCCTGGAAAATAAATTAAGGGAAACATCATTCGATGGAGATGTGGAAGAGATATGGAAGGCACTGAAAATATGTATTCTGGAAACAGCAAATACAGTTTGTGGGAAGAAGAGAGTGTCTGGCAAGGGAAAGCGGACAGACTGGTGGACCAATGATCTCCAACGACTGGTTTCTCGGAAGAAGCTTGCCTGGAAAGCATACCTTATGGATAGAACTGAAGGAAAGCTACACTTATATCGAATAGCCAGGAATGAATGTAAGGTAGCCATACGCCAGGCGAAGAAGAAGTCGTGGGAGGAGTTTGGTAAAAGGCTGAGCGAGGATCATCGCGAATCTATAAGAACATGATTTTAAAAGTTAAGATGTTTAGAGGAAAACAATGCAAGCCTATTAGAAATGTAAAAGGTAGCGATGGAATCCTACTTACAGACAAGGAAAAGATCCTTGGCAGATGGAAGGAATATTTCCAGGAACAATTCTCCGAAAATCCAGAAACAGACCATTATCAAGAACAAGAGCCCAATATTTAAGAAAGCCTCGAGGTTATAGAGGAAGAAGAAATAGAAAATGCAATCCATAAGCTAAAAAGAGGTAAGGCATCAGGAAGGGATGGAATCGCACCAGAATATTTAAAATTCGGTGGTCAGGAACTTCTTAAAGCACTACAATCGCTGTTCCAAGAAGTATATGACAGAAAGAAAATTCCCATGGACTGGGAATATTGCATAATCCTCCCGATTTATAAAAAAGGATGCACGACAGATTGCAAAAATTATAGACCCATTAGTCTGCTATCAGTGGTCTATAAACTTTATACTTCTATACTAGAAAGGACACTCCGACGGATTGTGGAAGGGCAGTTAGAAGCGGAACAGGCTGGTTTTCGTCCAGGCCGACAGACGCAGGATGTTTAATTAATTGAATTGTAGTAGTTGAATAAACATTAACAGTTTTATAATTGTGGGTTAATGGTTCACTGTAGTGAATAATGAAGAGAAGAATGGTTGGGGTGATCAGTCAGAAATAAGAAGGCAAAAGTAAATAATAATATTTATTTTGAGATTTGCCGACGTTTCGACCTGAAGTTCAGGCCTTCATCAGGGCTAAGAAAAGAACCAGATAACAAAGTATGACAAAACATAAATAATGTAGGTAAAAAAAGTAAAATGAAGTGGATAGAATAATGACAATAGTAAGAACTATGAGATAAATAATAATAACCGTTACAAAGTGTGGAATGATGAAGTAAACATAATCAAAAAAGATGACATAAGTATTAAAATGGAAACCTTAGAATAAAATGTAAAACAGAAAAAAGGAATATGAAGTTATATAAGAAATGAAAATAAATAGTAAAATTAAAATATTGAAAAATAGAAAATTGAGATATTGTAAAGTCTATCAAAATGTACTAACAAGTTATAATAGAATAAAGAGTTAAAACAGAGGAAAGGAAGGGGGAAAAGAAGAGAGAACTGAAAAAAGAAAGAAAAAAACCAACCTTCTCCCGTAGCTGACAGGAACAAAGCAAAGCAATGGTAGCAAGGGAAGGGGGGGAGATGTATAGTTGTGTCATCTCTGACCGTTAACTGACAAAGTATGAACTAAAGTACCGGGTGCGTAAATAATGGACAAGAGTAATATAACTCAAATAATAATAATAATATATGAGTAATATATCTACAGTGGTACTGTACTACCACTGTACTGTACTACTACTGTCCAAAAAGGCTGAAGTCCATAATCCAGAAAAAAATTAGAAAGCCCTGGAGATGATATTCAGGTTAGTAAGAAGATAATCAGATATTAACTGAATTCTGAAGACCTCTATGGTAGGGTGCCTTGAAAGAAACATCATTGGCGAAGCAAGCCAATAAAAGGTGCTTACTTTTGTGAGGAAATATGTAGCTAAACAGCTTAGCTTTAGGGAAAACATATTTTTTAATGAAAGCATGTTTAATTTCTTTGTTTCTTTGTGTCTGAAGGTCTAGTCCTGCCGATGGTTGGACCTAGCCAAAGACCCCTTCTCTGGAGAGTAGTGGAATCTACCAATGATGGCCAGCACCCTAGGAAGAGGAAGCGAAGGCGACAACAAGGGTTGTTCTGGAGGCTCCCCGTGCCGCAGGAGGGAAACGCCTCTTCGGTCGGCTTGGGACTGATGAGGTAAGCTAGGCAACTCGCCCACGAGCCTGTCAGGAGGATCTGAGGAGGCAGTTCCTCCACCTGACTAGGAGGGCGAGGACTGATAACCTCTGAAACTTCTTCATCCCGAGATCTCAACGAGAAATAGCCGGCAGATCACATGGTAACAGACACAGAAACCGTCATATTGCCACCGTTAGGAGCCATAGTGGAAAAAGTGGAACATCGGAAAGCTGAACGACCCAGAAAGCTGCCAAGCATTTCAACAAAAAACGGAAGAATTGGTAAGAGACGAGCTCAGAGTATCTGACGTCGAAAATGTACAGGATGTCTAGGACCAACTGGAAAAGGCCTAAGCCGGTACAGCAGAAAAAATCCTTGGAAAGGAGGCTCTTGAGGGTCGGGGTAAATGGTTCGATTAGAAGTGTAAGTTGGTCAATGATGCAAAGAATAAATCGTTCAGAAACATGTTAAATAAGCGCTTCACCAGGAGAGCCACGGAGAAATATTGGAATAAAATAAGGTCGGAGAAGAAACTCCTCATGAATAAGAGGAGGGCATGGGAAAGAAAGGGGCTGGAGGATATTGAGGCCCATTGGAGTGTAAAAGAAAGTAGAAAATTCTTCTAGAAGGACAATTGTGGACGTGCCGATTTTAAGCTTAGAATTCAAGCGTGTAAGAAAGTAGATGGAACACTGCTTACCAATAAGCCGGATATACTGGATCGGTGGGCTTGGCACTTCCGATTGTTATTTAATGAGGAAGTGGTTATAGAGGATATAGAGGCATGCGACATTGCTGGAGAGGATATGCCTTACGATCTTGGAGATATCGAACCCCCGGACTTCGAGGAAGTAATAGATGCAATTCATTGCATGGAAAACAATAAGGCGCCGGGGCCAGATGGATTGCCAGCCGAGCTCTTCAAGTATGGGGGAGATGAGTTGCATATAGCACTTTCCGATATAGTCCTGACAATTTGGGACCAGCAAAGAATGCTACGACAGTGAACTAATGCTATATGCCCTCTCCATAAGAAAGAAGACCAACTTGATTACAAGAACTACCGTGGCTTAGCTCTGTTGTTTTGTGCCTACAAGATCCTCTCGAATATCCTTTCTTACTGGAGAATGCTGTACGGGATTCAGGAATCCAGACAGACCACACGATATTTATCCGTACTTTACAGATATTGGAATACGCTGACGACATGGATTTCGTGGCCAGAACTCGGTCCCAATAACTCAGTAGGGGAAAATGATAGGTACATCTGAGAATCGTCTGCATAAAGGTGGTGGGAACAATGGAGAATTGATTTATGTAGGTCATTAATGTAGGAGTTGAAAAGGAGAGGAGATACGCAATCCATAAAGCAAGGAAGGCAGATAGTTAAATTATAGACATTTAATTAATTAATTAATTATAGACATCAGTGTGGTCTAGACCTCAGTTCAGAGCGTATGATAAAAGTTCAGTCAGTTTATAGTTAGTGATTTTCGCAGTTTTTAGAAGGAGTTCTGTCATAATTTTTGGTTAGAATCAACTATTAATCGTGTTATATCCACAGACAGGAAAGATTCTTCAATACACCGCCGTTTCACGTCAGAAGAAGAAAGGAAAAGTCACAGTTTTAGTCGGCTTAAGGTATCTATTGCAGGCATTCTAGATAAGAATATAGGTGGGGAGCGCATGCGCATAGATAAGACTAGGTACTAGATATCTCAGTGTTTCCAGTGACGAGGTTGGGGTAACGTCAATTTTTTTACCACGTTACTTACGTAATTTTTTATCTCTTTCTTCTTTTTTCGCGCTTATCAAGATGGTTCTATGCCCAATTTGTAAACAGACCATAGCAAGAGAAGAAAAAAAACAATGGCATGCACTATCACGACATGTCAAGCCATTTTCCATGGAAAATGTCTAAACGCGGACGAGAGTGAGTTCGAAGCACTGAGGGCATTACGAAAAAATTGGGTATGCCCGAAATGTGAAAAGGCTCGGAAAAATATCCAACCGACAGACAAGTGCCTTAGCCCGCCAAGATCGGCGCCACAACAACAAACTGTCGACAGCACGTCACAGCTGTTACTTGCTGCCATTAAAAGTCTAACAGAAGAGGTCAAGGGATTAAAATTCTCCCTCGATGCCAATGCTAACGAGGTGAAAGAATTAAAAATATCTCTCGAAAAGCAAGAATCTATAACTTTTGAGAATGCGGCGAAATTAGACACTATAGAGTCACTACTGGAGGCTCAAAATTCCAAGATTGACGGACTGGTCCTGGAAAACACGACTCTCAAGTCTCGGGTCTCGGAGCTCGAAATCAGGCTCAATAAAAGTGAGCAATGGCACCTTTCCAGGTCAATAGAAATAAGAGGAGTCCCAGTGAGATCTGGAGAGACCCCGATGGGCCTGGTGATGAGCGTGGGGGCGGGCCTGGGCCTTAGTCTAAAGGTGGAGGACATAGACTATGCAGAACGGATAAGAACCAGGCAAGACGATACACCTGGTCCGCTTGTGGTAAGGTTCGTCCGGCAGTCGCTTAGGGATGAGTTGATCCAGAGGCGAAAAGTCATTAGGGATTTTTCAACACGTCACCTCGGATGGCAAGAAAATGACGCCCACAAGATCTACCTGAGCGAAGCTATGTCCGTAACCAACAGACACCTGTACTGGCTGGCCCGGCAAAAGAGGTCTGCAGGAAAAATCAGGTACAGTTGGTTTAGCGCAGGTAAGGTGAAATGTCGACGAGACGACGGACAGCAGGTCGTCGTCATCAACTCACTATCAGATTTAGACACGTTTGCTTGACATGCATATACATGTTACATCATTTTGAACAATTTTGTTTTTACTTTTTTATATCCCCAGGTTTATGTTTTTGTTGCGTTTGTTTTAATAATAGACTATGATAATAATTTCATTTTTGTTTATGAGAATATTTTAGGTCTGATCTGTTCAGAAATTCTAATTTGTGTATTTTTTTTCTTTTGCACAATAGAAATATGCTTTTCGTTAACTAAATTTTATATTTTTTGTTTACCATCCTTATTAATATCTAGGAAATCCTGCACACTTATTGTTCCTCTCAATAGAGATAATATCAATAGTTATGGTCTCTGGACTCATATTGGCTCTGGCTGCTGTAGGAATATTCCTATCCTTAACTCCTTCTGTCCGTTTACCAAGCCACCCCTCCTTCTTCCATGACTAATATCCTTCTAACCTGCCACGCCAACGCTCAGTCACTCTTAGCCCATTTTGATGAATTTTACGACTTTTTTCTCCATAACTTCTACCATTTAATTTCCGTATCCGAAACCTGGTTGAAACCCACAATCCCGTCCTCCCAGATCCTTCTACCTAACTATACTCTCCTTCGTCATGACAGAGTAGATCGCACGGGTGGTGGAGTAGGTCTCTTTGTCCATGACAGTAGGTCTCAAATCCAAAATCCTTCACTGCTCTTCCATAACCGATTCTCCGCACGTTGAATACCTTTTCGCCGAAATCCTCACAACCTCATCTGCCATTCTGTTTGCAGTCATATATCGCCCTCCTAGAATTCCTTTCGATAAATCACTTGAGACTTTATTGTACAACTTAATCCCTTCCTACTCAAACATCATCCTCTCCGGTGACTTTAACACCAATTTACTGGCACCATCCTCTGATTATTCCTACCTAACAAACCTCTTTAATTCTCTCAGCCTTTACATAGTACCCTACAATCCAACCCATCATACTCAGTATTCAGAGTCCTGGCTCGATCTAATTATCCTCAGACAAACTCCTTGCCGCATCTCAGCACCCGGTTCCATTTCTATCTTCCCACGATCTTGTCCAGATCTCTTACAATGTCCCTGTTCCATCCTTTTCTCCCCGAACAATATCCTTCCGAAACCTAGATTATCTCACTCACGAAGCATTGTCAGAAGATCTTGACGATATCCAGTGGGATCCCATCTACTCCTCAAAATCCATAGACACCATGGTAGAAACCCTTACCACTCAACTTCACTCTATCCTCGACCGACATGCTCCTCTTATCACAAAAACCATCCGATATCCTCCAGCTCCTTGGCTTACTCCTGCTTTGAGGGAGTGTATGAGAGAAAGAGATGCTGCAAGGCGACGGTTTAAACGAACTCGACTTCCTGATGATTTTCTCTCCTACAAACAGCTTCGAAATAGCACTCAATCAGCAGTACGCCGTGCTAAATCCCGTTACTACCATCATTCCCTATCCAACTCTCCCAATACCAAGGCTACGTGGGCTATTCTTAGAAAACTGACCATTGGTAATGCACCCCAGTCTCAGTCCAATTCCGTTTCTGCTGATAACCTCAACGCTCACTTTGTCTCCTGTCCTCTCGCATCCACATCTCCCACGTCCAGTCTGGCTCCTATGTTCTCTTCCTTTAATCCTGATCACTTCTTTCTTTCCCATATTACACCAGAAGAGCTCCTTAAATCCATTCAGAAGTCCCATACCAATGATTACGGTCCCGACAACATCCCAGTCAGACTGATTAAGCGCATTGCCATCCATTCTTCCGATCCTTTATCATATATACAATTATTCTCTTCAAAATGCTACCTTCCCTACAACCTGGAAAACCGCCCTAGTACGCCCATTGAAGAAGACTTCAAACCCATCAGTTCCTAATGATTTCCGACCGATTTCCCTCCTTTCAAACCTCTCAAAACCATTAGAGCGGTTAGTCCAATCCCAGCTATCCCATTTTTTAGAGGACAATAATCTCCTAAATCCCTATCAGTCCGGTTTCAGGCCTGGTTATTCTACTCAGTCTGCCCTAACCAAAATTTCCCAAGACCTTCACACAGCCATAGATCAGCAGAAACTAACCATCCCTATTCTCCTAGACTTCTCCAAAGCTTTTGATTCAGTAGACCACAACATCCTCCTAACAAAACTTAAAAATATCTCTTTTTCTTCTAGTTCCCTTAATTGATTCCTTCCTAACCGGTCGCTCCCAGTACGTTGTAATTCCTAATAACCCACCATCAGAATCTCTACCTCTGACCAGAGGCGTCCCACAAGGCTCTTCCTTATCCCCCACCCTTTTCTCCATCTATATAAATGACCTCCCATCCTCTATCCTGCACTGTCATTACCACTTGTATGCCGACGACATTCAAATTTACCTCTCCTTTAATCCGACAGATATCTCAGATGCTACTCAAAAACTTCAGGAAGATATTGACAGAATAAGTGCTTGGGCAAACCTCAATATGCTCACTCTGAACGTCGAGAAGACAAAAGCCATCTTGATCGGATCCTCTTCACTCCTCAAATCCTCCCCGGTATCTCCCAATCTCTTCCTGAACAACTCACCTATCTTATTCTAGACCACCGTTAAAAACCTAGGTGTTACTTTCGATCAATCCCTATCCTGGAAACCTCACATCTCCCAAATTTCCCGTCGCACTATCTCCACCCTAAAACAGTTCAATCGTCTACGATATCTCCTTCCATATAAGTCCCGTCAACTCCTAGTTTCCTCCCTTGTTTTCCCCCACTTCGACTATGGCTGTATGGTGTACGGTGGACTCCCGGAAGATTCCGAGGTTAAACTTAAACGTCTAATGAATTGCGCACTACGATTTGTTTTCGGAATCTCAAGGGATACGCATATTACCCAGTATTACACTGAGTTGAGGTGGCTCTACCCATCCTATCGCCGTCAGTACTTCCTAGCCACCTTTCTGTACCAAATCATTAGAACCCATCGACCCTCCTATATTTTTCACAGCTTACAATTTAAATATTCCATCCAATCCCGTCCCACCAGATCTCGTACTTCCGACCTCTATCCTCCTCCTCACCGAACTGCTGCGTTTGACAAATCCTTTGTAATACAAGCCGCCTCCCTCTGGAATATTCGACACGCTCAATCAGTATCCTCGTTTAAACCTCTCCTCTTTAAGCACCTACTCCTTTCTCAATCCGAATGATTGTGAAATATATCTAAGAGAAATATTCTGAGCACCACCAGAGACTACCTCAATTTATTAAGGTTATTTTAGTTTCTCATACATATGTACAATTTACTTGTCCTTTTTTTTCTCTTGTCTGTATTTTTATCGTAAGTCAACTTTCATTGTAAATATACAATTTAATTATAGCCACACAGACATATAATCTGTATTCATATTTTGTTCTTAAGGGACAACAGTCCCAGAATAATAAAACATTTTTTTCATTTTTTTTTCATTAATTCTAAAATGGGCAACTTCAATTAATAAAACAACTTAAAAATACTACAGGGTTATAACTATTTAAACTATATTCTCGTTATTTGAAGGAACCTTTCACGAACGATAATTATAAAGTTTTCATAAATGACATCTTGTAATTAGGCTTGAAAGTCAACATTTTATTTTGTTAATAGACTTTTCATTATGACTTTAGTTTTTAATAACTGAAAGGATATTTTATCTGTCTCTGCTTAGAATATTAAATTGTTTATCAATTATTGATTAAGGAGTTTTTTATTTTGATACTTAAATAATAAAAAATAAGGTAGATCTTTAGTATATATATATATTTTTATTTAGTATCATTAAGTTTACTGTGTTTTTCTTTTTTGAAAATGTCTAATCAATATAAACATATTGATATGAAAATATGAGATAGGAACATTGTTATTGCTAGTGGTTATTCAAGAAGTTTTTTTTTTTTTGTTTATTTTTAGTGAACTTTCTGAAAATTTTGGAAGTTGAAGTTGATGGGTGTAATCATGCCTTTGAATGCAGGTATGTAAGAATTTCTAAACTAATTTACAAATATTATTTTAAGATAATACAAGATACAACTTAAATTTAGTTTTATTTTTTTCCCATTTTTTGGCCATCTTACAACCTTCCATCTCATAAGAATGTATTTGTAACTAACTCTGAGATAGTTCATAGATTTATTTATTAGATATTAAAGAATTATAAAAAAATACAAATCAATAGGTAGGGTTCTAGAATTTAGCTAATGAATATAACTTGGTAACATAACAGAACTGTTAATTCCACATATTAAATATGAAAATCTATAACCAGTATCACTTTCTATCATCAACAAAGTCAGCTCATCCAGTAAAACATACTTGTTGATATATTGTCTTAAATTAAAGCTGAACCATTTCAAAAGATGAAACACTAATGTTAATAGACTATTTGTATGGTTTTTGTTCTTTAAATTTAAATTAACATTATCTAAGGGTGCTGTATTTTCTGCTCTAGTTTAAATTCCTAAGCATTTTAAACTACAATAGATACACAAACATAAGCAGTGATTATTTGTATTGAAAAATAACAATTGGAAGTGTAAGACTAAATTTTGAAAAGCTCAGCTTTGTGTTTGTTTGTAATTAATTAATTTCATTTAGTGATAGTAATGATTTAATGAATTTAATCTGTTTAAGATTTCTCTAGACAAAGTTTGAGTTGTTTTCTTTGACCTGATATGTTGCTTTTCATTTCTTCTTTTCTGTTTTGCAAATTTTTCCGCTTTGCAAATTTATTCTTGTTCACAGAATTTGGTCATGTTAGGTTTTTTCATTCCTGTTGGATGTTTCTAAATTAACTGCTTATATACAGTAAGATTTCTAGTTTTGTTAAGTTAGTTTGGACAATTATTGCCTTCTCCTTTTATTATATTAAATCCTCACCATCATCATAATTCTCATTGCAGCCCATTACTGAGCCTTGGCCTTCTATAACGGCCTCTGCCAGTCTATATGGTCTGCTACTACTGTTCTCCTTGAATATACTTACTGTAAAAAATCTGAGTCATTCAAAACTTTATTGACCATTTATTATAAATAAAAAAATATCTCTGCATATGTAATATATTACAGGATCTTGATTAATGCTGTTTTTTTCCTCATATCTTATAGACATATCTAGTGCTCTTATGGTACTTGAACACATTCAGTCAACTGTGAATCAGAGTGATGATGTTAAACTCCAAAGTAAAACCAATGATGATCTTAACCTCATAATTAGTTTTCTTGAGAATCCAATATTTAGGGGCATTGCAACCATTCAAGTAAGTTAAACAACTCTAAACATTGATTAAATTAAGAGGTTTTAATTTTCATCTTCAAATTTAATGACTCATGTTTTAATGCTTAATATTTTTAAAACATTTGTGCTAACAGAATGGTTTTTATTTTTAGGATTCCTTGTCTGAATTAAGTACACAGATACAGCAACATCCTTCCATTCTCCCTATTGACTTTGATGTAACTGAAGCGGGTAAATTAGTTCTCAATTTACCTCCTCCTTTGTTTGAACCTGACTTTATTACGTCTCCAAATACTGAAGTAGATGACCAGAGAGTACCTGTTGCAAAGCTCTCTCAGAGTTCTTCGGGTGAACCGAATTCTCCTCCTGTATGTATTTTTATCTGACTTCTTTTTTAAAAAGTTATATTTATATTAAATAATTATAAGAATGGAATTTTATTTTCCAAATGCTCAACATATAAACAAATGTCTATAGTGGTCTACTTATTTTGAATTACAATTTGTTAAGGCATCTTCCTAATTTTCGACAAACGTGTTTTTTAATATTTAGTGCTCAATCATAAGCACTCTGCCTAACCTGAATATTTTAACATTTATTTTATTAGTAATCCATCATATTAACAATTTTAAGATCAATTTTGAGCCTAAATAATCACTTAAAGTGTCTGTAAACTGAGGCATTGAGATATTTGTAAATATTGTTTATTCAATGGATATTTTTATGCATTTGTTGATGTAACTAGTGTTTTAATTACGACATGTCTATTAAAGTTCTGATCTATTCTGCCACTAATTAGACAGTAAATGGGTTGTTTATCTCTAATCTCTTTAAGCCCTGAAGATTAGTGATGTTTACTTTTGGATACATATATATTTAATTTCTTGTTGATATGTGGCATTAGCATGTATTACAGTCAGAACCTGGCATCTTGGGTAGTGTAGGTGTTTTAGAGCAGAATTACAGTCACGGTCTTAGAAATTGCATCACCCAGTAAAAATTGTATTAAATTATATTTTATTTATAAGATTGCTATCTGCAAGATCTCTGGATATTTCTTTGCTAATTTTGAAACAATATTCTAAAAACAATCGCACCATTAAACAGTCAAATTGTTCATTTTGTTTTTCTCCTCCCAGTTCCTTTCTTTTGCTCCATGGAGCATTTTTTTATTTTATTTTTTTTCCAGTACTATGAGTACCGTTGGTTGGTGGTGCCTTACCCTCATTACTATTTCTCATGAAAATTCCTTCACTTCATTTAACATCACAATTTTAATATTTTCAAATAAGAATATTTTTTTGTAATTGGTTATAATTATAACTGAACTGAGCTGGTCAAAACTGAACTGAAAAACATTGTTAAAGTCTTCTTGTAACCTGAATAAGTAAAGAAAAACAAAGTCATTCAATGGAATCAACATTATCAACATAAGAATCAAAAGAAATTGATGATGCAATTTGTATGACTGTGATTGTATCTAACATCTATATTTTTCTGTTTTATCCATTTCATTTAATATCTTTCTTGATATATTAACTTTACAAATTGACAGTAGTTTTTAACCTATGTGAGAAGATATCATTAACTTTTTACAGTTAGTCAGGATCCTAATAGAATCAGAATTCAAAGTAGTGGTGCAGTGTCTTATTGTGACTCATTAGCTTAATTTGGTGTGAATTAATAAATATATAAATAACTTCATTCAGTTAAAAATCTGATCAAATAAGTAGCTGAAATTGCAAATGGAACCATGATATAATCTAAAAGCTTATTACAACTCGACCACAATTAGAGACAACATTAACAAGGGTGAGGTCAGTAAACTTTCATAAAATTTGTTTAAGTAATTCTACATTCAAAAATGTTGGACGCTTGCCCTCAAATTTGTTCCAATGGGCCCTGGGAGCCTAGAAAAAATATATTATTATTATTATTATTTAATGACGCTACAAACCGCAAGGAATCAGGGCCTCCTGTATTATTTCCGCCTGTCCTGTCTTCTTTGTGCCGCTGCTCTCCAGTTTCTTGTTCCGAGGATAGAGCGGACGTCCGATATCACACCATCCTGCCAGCGCAGCCTTGGGTGTCCAACTCTTCTTTTGGCTTTGATCTTCTCATCCAGGATCTTTCAAGTTGGCTCCTGTGGGCTCATCCTAGCCACATGACCAGTCCACCAGAGCCGTCCCACTTTTATAAAATGGATGATGTCCCTATCCTTATACATAGTCATTATTTCTTGATTTGTTCGCCTTCTCCAGGTGGGCCCTTTTTGGATCATAGATTGGTTCCAAAATCCTCCTGAGCACCTTCCTTCCGAAGCGGCGCAAGTCTTCCTTCAATGCCCTGGTCAGCGTCCACGCCTCAGCACCATAGGTGAGAACAGACCTAATTAGGGCTTTGTACAGTTGCAGCTTTGTTGTTTGGGAGATTACCCTGCTTTTAAGCTCCGGAACTAGTCCAAAGTAACATCAGTTGACTGCCTGTATTCTGCGTTGCACTTCAGCCCCCACTGCATTGTCGCTAGTAATTAGAGATCCCAAGTATATAAATTTGTTCACAGTATCATATGTGCATCTTTGAACTGAATGCGTTTGGGTACTCTTCTTGTAGCATTAGTACTCATGTATTTAGTCTTAGACTGATTAACTTGCAGTTCAAACCATGCGGCTGCTGTCTCAAGGCTTAAGAAGGCTTCGCTCATGGCCATAAAATTCCTACCTATGATGTCGATATCATCAGTGTATCCAGAGAGTTGCACCGTGCGATTGAAAATAGTTCCACCAACCTGAATTTCTGACTGCCTAATGGCTCCTTCTAGGGCAAAATTAAACAGTAGGCAAGCCAGCCCATCTCCCTACCTTAAGCCCTTGCAGGTGATGAAAGCATCCGATAACTCCCCCCCCCCACTTGCACAAAGCACTGGACGGACTCCATTGTTCGACGAATCAAGCATACCAGTTCTCTAGGGACACCCATTTTCAACATCACCCTGAGCAGTTCCTCTCTCAGTACTCTGTCATACGCAGCCCGGAAAACGATGAAGAGGTGGTGGGTTTGAATATTATATTCACAGGCTTTCTCTAACATCATTCTCAATGAGAAAATCTGATCAGTCGTTCCTTTACCCCTCATAAAACCTGCTTGATACTTTCCTATTTCTCTCTCGGCAAAATGGAGGAGCCTAAGGAATAGTATTCGTGAGAGTATTTTGTAGGCATATGACAGAAGAGAAATCCCTCGGTAGTTCCCACATTCAAGAACATCGCCCTTTTTGTGTATTGAGCAGATTATGGTTTTATACCAGTCTGATGGGATTCTTTCCCTTTCCCAAATTCCTAGGATTATTTGGTGTAGGACTTTGGTGAGTTCTTGGCTACCACACTTGATGATCTCAGCAGGTAAACCATCTGCGCCGGGAGCCTTATTGTTTTTTAGGTTTTCAATAGCTTCCTCAACCTCTTCAGAGTCTGGAGTCTCAATATCGTCTCCTTGTGTCTCCATGCTCATAGTGGGCGGATTAGTATCTCCTAAGAGATGATAAAAGTGGTTCTTCCATCTGTCCAGTATTTTATTTTTCTCGTTTAGGAGTATGCCGTCTGAATCCCTACAGGCGGCAATCTGGTGCTTGAAGGGTTTTCGGGGTCCATTCACCAGGTTATAGAATTTTTGCACCTCATTTTGGCTTCGAAATTCCTCGATTGTCTGGAGCTCTTGAGACTTCTGTATCCTTTTTTTCCTCCGGTTTAAGTGTTTTTCCTGTCTTCTCAAGGCCTTGTCTTCCAAGCCCCTAGTGTTCCTTTGTAGGGTCAGCTTGTGAGCTTCATTCTTGAGGGCGGTTATAGTTTCACATTGGGCAGTTTGGATGATATTAAGGGGACGATGAAGGTTTATAATTTGATACTTTTTATAATGTCTGACTGTAATTATAATGACTGATTTCACAAGGAATTTCATACTATTAACCTGGTAACACTGCTCTCAGTTGCTAAAGGTTAACAAGCTGCAAATGATAATCAAAAAGCCTCTGCAGTGTATATCCCACATGGACTCAATGGGATTGAGATCTAGAGACAGTACAGGACAGGGCAGGTGTGAAATATCCAGGGTTTCAAGACATTGATGAACAACCTTTCCCCTACGAGGTCACGTATTGTCATCAAGAATATGGAAATCTTAGCCAATTATGACCCCGGTTTGAGGAATGTACTCTTCTGTAATTTCTTGAACATGACGAACTGCAATGAGATTACCTTCCACAATATGGAGTAGAGTATGCTCTCTTGAGTAGAAGCCCATACCATCTCCCTCCTACTTCTAGACTGCATTGAAGGAAGCAAAAACTGTGGCAGTGTATCCATCTCTGGTTATCGGAAGACTCTTTATTGCCTATGATCGCTATAAATACAGAAATGTGACTCATCTGTAAACATAACAGCATTCCAATTTGTATCCTCATCTAGACGTTGGTTTCACCATAATCTGCGGAGTTGCCGGTGAGGGTTATCTTAACGGTTGCTGCAGGTTATCTTATAGAGGAATAAGATGTTAGACCAACTTCTCACAAATGATTACGAATAATTTGAGTTAATATGGATCTTAGCAGAACATTAGACACTTCATTTAGGCTCTGTTGGGCACTATGAAATGGATTGCTTCTTGCAGTAATTACAATATTTTTAAATGAAATGAAAAATTTCTTTAGTATTCTGGGACAAAGTCTCTTAAGAATAAAATTTATAGAGCCTTATATAGCTATCAGGACAGTGTGGCCTGACTCATTGAACAAAAAAAAAAAAAAAAAAAAAAATTAATAAAAGGAAAATTAGCAAATAAAAATAAATTTTTATTTACAAATAAATAAATTTCTGTCATCCCTTGGTCCGGGGACGGTTCTCAACTTGAGCTCTAGGTTCTTGTTTAGGCATCCTCCTGTGTCATTAGTGGTTGATGTAAAGCTGTAGCGATCATTCATTTATGAATGATCGCTTAGCCTCATGACCAATGAGTGTGCTCTGAGATCAGATCGGAATTTTTATTTTTATCTGATCTCATTGGTACTATGGGGCATCGCCAGGGTCCTGGCGGTGCTATGGGTGGACGGCAGGAGTGCTTGACCCTGCTTGGCCGTGGCGGTGGTAGTTGTTGCATCGCTTTGTCCTGTCTGGAGGGTGAGGTTGAGGGTCCATTGATACTTCCGGGTTGGGTACCACCCTCTTCAGGTATCCACACTTCGAAGTATAGGCGTATGCACTCTGTCATCCCTTGGTGTTGTAATGCACTGAGGTTCACTAGAAGGTTTTATATTGGTACATTCGGTTTCTGACTAAAGCCTGGGAGAATACCGGAATTTGGTAGAAGCCTACTGCATCGGTGATATCCACTT